TAACCTTCTCTATCCACGGTATCCTCATCATTCGCCTGTAACACCTCATTTCGAACGCTTCTAACCGTTTCTTTTTCGCACCCATACACCGCCGCGCTATAATAATACACCTTAATCAATCTTTTTCGAATTTCTAAATTAATCGTTCGCAAGCATAGAAGTGACTTCTTTTTATTGAAGGCGACTCGACCCTGCGCTATTCTCTGCCTTATATCCCTACTACTCCTTCCGTTCTTACTTATCTGACTTCCTAGATACCTTAAAATAAGCCACTTCTCGTGTCCTATCCTTTAGTTCAATTTTGAAATCAAAGCATAGATTTAAATCTGTCATTTTAACTATAAAAACCTGGGCGAAACGTCGACTATAGTTTTTTTAATAAATAAATAATTTTTAACACCACACCGCTTTGATTTCAAAACCGAATTAAGACCGAATTTTATGAAACTGTACCTCTAATGGGATGAGGATTAAAGATTGATCTATCGATTTAATTACAGCCCAAAACTATTCATTATAAAAAGGTATCACCCGCCCACTATGAAACGGGTATTCAAAGTACTATTCTAAAAAGGGATTTCACGCCAATAAGAACTTAGGTTGGGTTTTTTGATGGTAGCGACTTCAAGTGCTATGCACTAACGACAAAGGTACTGCCCAAATTTGGACGGGTTACAGCTAATTCGTTATGAGCCAAGTGTTTAGTCATAAATGTTTTAATTTTTCCTGTGAAATGACCTTAGCAAACAAATGAATTTAATCAAGAATTATATATAATTTTGGTCTCTTAACACCTTGTTTTATGTTTCATATTCCAGCATTTACAGTTTCGGAGATTTGAGTTTATTTAGATATTATCATATGTTGATCTATGGACGACCTTCTGTTCCTTAAATAAAACGAACACAATTTTTACATCTGCTTCACTGTAAATTGTCCAACAATTTTCTTATTTATTTTGTATTTCCTAAGTTGTTTTCGTTCTCGCCTATACATATAATTATGCAAATGGTTTAAGTCGTTAGGATTATACACATATATGTATACGAATCATAGAAAACATTCAGATTAAAATCAAATGTTGCTGGAGTCAATTGAATTTATTGCTTGGACTTGGAACGTATAAGCGCATTCAACTCACTTAACCCTGTATTTCTTATGTAAACGGCTCTAATATTACAAATCGAAAGAAGGTTCGTCTTCAGGTTAATCCTTAAAAAAATTTAAGCGAAACTTAAACCCGTAAGTTATTGGCAAAATAATCGGCCAATAATAGGTAGATATTGTGGTACTTTGCCTATAGATGCTGTCAAGTGGTAGAAAACAAAATGCTTTTAAATAAAACATAAACAATTACCTACAATGTTGAATATACAGTAATCTCTCTAAAACGAAACGCTTTATAAGGAAACTCCCCATAACGTAGATATACGCATTCATGCACTGTTGATTAAGGAAAGGACATCGTTTGCGCATAGGATCGTGGCTTTTCGTCCCTGATGTCAAGAAAAGTCGTATTTTCGGAATAAAGGTATCGGCAAAAATTATATGCGGGCCTGGGGGAGAAGGTATTATACTCCTAACAAGAGTTCTCTTTACTTTTCGGCCGGGAGGGAATGATTTTTTTTTAGTTTTACCTCGAGGAGGGGAAATCTTCAAAAGACACCCCTGAAGGGGAGTAGTGTCGGATTCGCCGAAGCGCCTTCCGACTAAAACCCCTCCTTGAGTAGGGCAATCAACCAGAAGATTGTACATTCCAAGGGAAGGTTCGTTGGGAAGGCTGGGAAAGGAGAGAGCCATAAGTGGAGAAGAGGAGTGTTTTGGGGGAGGAATGGTATCCCACTACAAAGAGCCACCACCACCCGCCCTAAAAAGCGAAACCAAGATTGAGCAAAGGTGAACAGCTCAGGAGAGAAGGTGGCAGGCCTTCTGAAACGGTGGTTTGGCTTAGGAACGAAGTCGCAAAGTGTCGAGATAGATGGGTTTGCGTAATCTGGCATTGAGACCCTGAGAATCTGGTAGAACCATCGGGGAGAGAAGGTAGATAAGTTTGTTTCAGAATTTGGTTGTTTCTAATGAACCATGGGTAGTTGAGTGCGGAGCGAAGAATCCGCATGTAAGCGCCTCGAAGAATTTGAAGGCGGAGGGGATGTGTGTAGCCCCAGATGGAAATTGCGATGGAGCAAATGCTTCTGATAATTGTGTTGAAGGCACGTATTTTTTGTTTGATGGGAGATAAAGCTATTTTGGAAAAAAGGCTTTAAGGAGAAAAAGGCGCCAAAGGCCTTTACACGAGTGGCTAGGATGTGTTTTCGACATGTCAGTGTTCTGTCAAAGACGTCGCCAAGGTAGGTGACTGAGTTGCTCCATGTGATGGGGTGGTTGTTAACAATGATGGTGGAAGGCTTTCGGGTCCTATGGGAGAAGAAGATTGCTTCCGATTTGGTCTCGTTAATAGCAAGTTTCCATTTTCGATGCCAGTTGAGGAACAGGGGCAGAAATTTGTTAATATTTGCGGAGCTACGTAGAATTGTTTTGGTGAAATTTATAAGGGCAATATCATCGGCGTAAAGAGCAGTGAGAATTGAAGGGTGGGACGGCATGTCTGCACAGAAGAGGTTGAATAGAATGGGCGGTAACTTGGAGCCAACGCGGACACGAAGGGTTCTGTCAGAAAAAAAAGGATCTAATAACCCCGATAAGGATGTGTGGGGTTTTGGGGGCGATAAGTGTGGAAATGAGACCTTCGTGCCAGACTCGAGTGAAGGCCTGTTGGATGGGAGGAAAGGTTTTGTTTTTGTTTAGATTATTCTCGAGGAGAGGAAATCTTCAAAAGACACCTCCTGAAGGGATGTAGTGTCAGATTTTTACCGACTAAAACCCTTCCTCGAATGGGGAGATAAACCCGAAGGTAGCTCATCCCCTGGAAGAAAATGGAAAGGTTGGGAGTGGGAAGAGGATTGAGTTGGGAAACGGGTTGAGTGTAGGGGAAGAAGGGAGTACTTGAGGAGGAAAACTGTCAAACCTCTGAAGTGTTAGTTAAAAATCGAAGAGGAGGGAGTGCAGCACTTTCTTCCCTCGGCTAAGCAGGGTTTCATAAAATACTACAAGTAGCGTAGCAAATGCCATCTGTAGTACAGTGCTACCTTTAGTCATTTTATCATTTTTTTGTCTTGATGGTTGATAATGCCGAATTACCTTCGACTACTTTTACGTACATACCTAGACGTATGTATACGTTACAAAAAATATTAATTGGAATTTAATTATTCACCACTGATAGTGAGTTGTAGATTAGAATGCAGATAGAAGTTATTCAACGGATTACTTATCCTTAATTCTACATTTCAACGTAGGTGCTAATCGTAATCAATAACCAAAAAACTCATTGATGAAAATAACCTTTTAATTTATTAAATCGTTTGACAAAAATTGTAACTACGGATAGATAATATAGGTGTGTAAGTCTGAAAGCAACAAGCAAACAACATGAAATGATTTACTTGTTTTTTATTAGATCGGTAGAATATACAAAACAAATATTAAATCTGCAAATAAATAATGTACATGCTTACTAATCAGAAAGATAAACTGTTTATTTATTTATTATCATATTTAAAGTTTTCTGAAAATAAAATTGGAACAACATTTGGTGGGAGCGCAATATCTTGCACAATATCTTGGTAATAGATAAAGATCTGCGGTTTCTAACTTTTTTTTTGTTTATTATTCTCGAGGAGGTAAAATCTTTTTACTTTCTACTTTACTTACCGACTAAAACCCCTCCTCGAGTCGGGAGGTAAACCCTAAGAGTTGCTCATCCCCGGGAAGAGACTAAAAGGTTGTTTTTTTTTATACCCTTTTTAACGATGTATGAAAAGTGTGGTGTAGAATCGGTATTTAAAATACAAAAGTGAGTGGGGATGCGACCTCTCCATTGAGGAAGATCAACATTTCGTCTCTTTTAATTTAGGAACACCCCCAATTTTTTTTTCCTATCAACAGTCATTCAGAACTTATTCAGCCATCTCCAGATTTTTGGATCGCCTTATATGAGAATAAGTATTATTGTTACTATACTGGCATTGTAATTAATTATTATTTTTGATACTAACTGTATGTTTCTCATCTCACACACATACAATTTTAACAAGACACTTGTTGCTGCGATTGTACAACGTACACGTGCTCGGCGCATCGCTGGTGGGGGGTAGCCGCATGTCTTCTATGGTCGCTCATAGGTCATTAGACGTGGTTGGTTGCTGGTTCCTTGCGTCACATCGTCCGCGTTAGAACCGACTGAACCGCTGTCCATTATCATTTATTCGTTCCAGAATTTACTGTATTATTCAGTATCGTTCGTGTTCTTCGGAGTGGCGTTGTAAATATGTGATAAAATGTGATCGTTTTGTTGTTGTTTTCATTTATCTGTTCCCCAAAATACCGAAGGAATTCTTTTTATGACAATTCCCGTTGTTGCGTTTCGTTGATATAAAGAACACGTGTTGTTTTGCTCGGTTATGTTGTTCGTTGATCGTGACTCAGATTGTTTTCGTTTTAAGTTAGTGCAACAGAGTTGGCGTTATATTGCTCGATTGTTGTTTGTTTGCCAGTAACAGTTTTAACCTTAAAATGTAATAAATACTTATTACCTGTACACTGGTGCAGTTTTTACGTATGCCGACTTTTGTCGCATACCTCCGCTATTTTACTTTTTTCTTCGTGAAAGTGGATAACTACCTACATCATTTTAACGCATACAGGTGGATGTAATGGAATACGTTTATTTATTTCAAAGTGAGTACCTACGTGTAGGTAATATTTATGTTAATAAGAGTAACATCAATAACAACTAATAACTAGTTATCGAGAACTATCGTACATAATTACCTTCCCCATTTTGAATTAGCCTCCCCTTCACGTGCTAATAGCCCCCCCCCTGTTTATTTTATCGAATATCAATCAATAATAATAATACAACTTATAACTGCTTGACGTTAAGCGCATAGACATTTGAATATTGTGAATTAAATTAGAATATTAATTGTATGTCATGGAATCAGTTTAAAACGTGTTTTGACAACCTCCCCCCTCCCATAACACAATTCCTCCATAACTTATTTATGTCGTAAATACCTACTTACTATTGTTATTATAGTTAAGTAGCAGTTGCTTAAGTATAACGTATGTTCGAAAGGAAAGACAATAAGTAATAATGAGTAGGTTCACTAGTTTTAATTGAATTGCCTTTTTGAATGTAATCATGCAGTACTCATGTGTGGTAGGTATGTAGATTTATGGCGTGTTCATAGATAGGTATGTGTATGGTAGAATTTTATTGATAAATAAGTAACAGTAATAAGGCATGTTTGTTATTCAGTACATATGTATAAATAAATACATAATAGGTTCCTAAGTTACCGTACTTCCATTATGCTTTATCAACATATCCTCATGGAGTGGTATAGGTGTAATGTCATCCTTTAACATCCGTTTATTAATTTAATATTGGTAAGGTGTATGTGTGTATTTCGTTTTTATTGCAAATTAGAGCTAAAGTAAATAAAAAACTTGCAAATCCAGGGTGTCTTGGTATACGTATAGAGGCCATAGGGTAGGTTCTTTTTATAAGAAAAACTAGAACATTTGATGGGGCAACTTTTTTGTTGGTAGTAGGTAGGTAGATATTTTGCGGAATAAACACCGATAAGTAGAGTTGTTACCCACGCATGACTCGAATAGGAAAAAAAAGTGAAAAGACCGGCAGTTTCAAGGTCATCCACGTCACTCGTTTTAAGCTATTTTTAGAATGCTACCGCCAAGCACGATGTAATTTTATAATAATGGCTAGAGCAAAATGTTAACCGTTTTCCACGAGTTGCGAATAATTGGGCAGTGGTATGTTACAACGCCAATAACATATTCACCTACAAATAAGTTAAGGAAAATGTTAATTTCCTCCTAAACTACGGAAGCAAAAAGTTTTTGTTATTGTTTTAAAAGTGTCTTATCGTAAATCGCAGTAGGTTTTACATGTTGTCAGTATGTCAGTAGTTGGACAGGAAGGGGGTTCAGTTTTCTATGTGATGACATTTGTTTTTGTTAAAGAACGCAACCTATATTAAGATAAAACGAAAATAATAGGTTGAGGCATATGCATTCTGAAAACAAAAAGAATGTAAACAGTATTGTGAATAAATACGCAAGAATGGAAGAAAGTACGGTAATGATTAAGGCCATAAAGAAAGAAGGACGCGGTAGGAGCAGGTAAAAGTATTCGGACAGTGTTTTAGAATGTTCAGATTAAGATAAATACACATAACATGGTACTTCATACAGACGACCAAAGAGCGTAATTTGAATTCACCCTTTATAGTAGTAGCAGAGCGAAAACTAATTTTTGCAATTATAAAGGGAACAGAAAACCACTAAAAATATAGCCAAGATTGTTAAGCGAAGTTATTTCACCATCCACAGTATCGTACAAAGGCAAGACACAAAAGTGGCGAAATTCCCATTGACAGTATCCATTCTGATAGACCCCGAAAACATACTCTGTGCGAGCAACGCATTATCCTTCCTATGATTAATAAAGTAGATACCAAAACAACAACTATAGGAATCACTATTATGTTACGAGAGCACCGTAATAAACAGATCTATTCTAAAACCATACAACAATGGTTTAACCAAAAGAAAACCCTACTCAAGTAGAAGGAATCGGTTAGGATTTGCAAAACAGTTTCTAACTAAAGACGATGACTTCTGGAATCACGTACTACTTTGTGATGAAATCAAATTTTAAGGGTAATGGTCAAATGTGTGTGGGGTGAATACGTGGCACTGTCCTGGATCCATGGAGCAAGGTAAAATAGACGATAGTCGTTGGATAGAGGTTGGCTACGCCGGGATTCGTTTTCAGCAAGTAGATATCCACACAAGTGGACCTTGTTGGAGCATACGTAATCCTAAAATGTAGGATCGTGCTACAGATGGCGTTTACTGCGCCATTTGTAGTATTTTCTAAAACGCACTGTTAAGACAGCAGGTAAAAGTTGGTCTGTGTTTTGTCGGAGCTGCCTGCGACGCGCCGATGAGATCCAAAAAGATCGAAATCGCGATCCGCGTCTGGTAGTTTCGACAGAATACAGACCACTTCGAATTATTTTAGACGATAGTCTGTTCTATTTAGGTATAGGTACTCAAATAGAAAGTAAAACACTGTGCAGAGAATCTACTTCTTATTATTCCAACATGACAATGATACTAAAACACTCTTTTGGATGTTTCATTCCCACTTCCCACCGGCTATTAATGTTGGCGGGCAGGCAGGCCTTCCAGACTACGCGGGAGGATAGAACAGAAGATCCTCTTCAGTCTCCTATTAGGTTCGTGGGAAAGGGTGGGTGGTGGTTGGAGTGAGAAAGATGAGGCAGTTAAAGTGATAGATTATCTGTGGAATATTTCTGCCCTAGTATTTGCCTACGCGATCCAAGGAAACCACAGAAAACATTTGACAATGGTAGACCGGCCCAAAATCGATCCGGTGTTCTCCCGAATGCTAAATAATGATCTAAATTTGTAGGCTAGGTCGTGCCACTAGGTCTTGTTCACATCACCACAGTCTTTAGGCTTAAACTCAAATTGAACATGTCTAGTAGAAGTTGGACACACGTATTCGGGGGCACCATATAACTAGCAAAAATCACCTATAAATGGCAGTTACTTCAACAGAAATGACAAAAATTTAAACCTTTTTACTCATAAGTTGGTGAAATCGATGCCATGACGATTACTAGCAGTAATTAAGCAGCGTGAATTATTAATTTTTTGCATTTTTGTACATTGTTAGAATACTTTTGTCCTTACCTTTTTTATGTATGTTTCTATTAAGTTTATTTTGATTTGACAAATACAACTTTTTTTGACGTTGTTCCTACTTTTATTATCTTTGACTTTCGACTCGTGTCCCTCATTAGGAATCAACCCGCGTACCTACTAGCTGTGACTTCAAAATGTATGTCAAACTATTGTAACTAGTACGTACCCCCTGCCTGTATTTACTTAGATATTTATATTCTCTGGACTTGGAAGGATCTAACATTAAGACAATGTGAACTAAATCAGTTAATTAAAAAATAAACCAAAAAAATATGCATTAGTGGCGAGTTCGGAGCCCAAGATAGGGATCTTTTCTTAGGTCTCATAAAATACGTTGCACAGAATTTCATCTTTTTTGGACCCCTCCCTCCCTCTTCGTCATTCACAGTTGAGAATAGGGTTGCCACCTTTTCAGGCTTTACATAAAGTATTTCTCGACCAAAAGGTTTAAAAAAAAGTGCTCAGCATAAAAATAAAGTATTTTATTTTTTTTGTTTTTCTTTTCAGCGACTCTAACAAATATTATGTCACAAAAGCGAATTAACCGCCACTACCTATAAGCGATTTCTTATGATTGAAAATATTTTTAACGTAATGAAAAATTTTAATTACTGCCAAGTTAAAAAAATCGTTCAAATAAAATTGACGAAATGTGAACGTAACATTTCCTCAGACCCCTTTTCATATCGTCACGCGAAGCAATAGCAATCCCTCCCCCTTATTTACAAACGTATTTTTAAGCATTAACTGACAGCATCATCTTATGAACAATGCCAAATGGTATAGGGCAGGGATGGCGAACCTTTAAGTACCATCGTGCCATTTTTATAACGAAAAGTTTAATCAGGTCATAGACGTGCCATTAAATAATTTTGTCTGTGATTATTGGGAAAATAACGATAATAAATAATATCAACTCAAAATTCTACAAGAAAATAGGAACATTTTGCAATGTTTAAATTATACGTGTAATTTAAATTAAAGTAAAATTAGTGTTCTGTTTTTGCAGATTAGATCAAATAACTTATGTTAGGGTTGTAAGATCTTAATTTTAGCAGAATGCATGCTGAACTGGAGTCATCTACCAAACGGTTTGTAAATGCTAGTTTTTGATGTTATTAATCTCTGAAAATGATGACTCGCAGGCATAGGTTGATTAAAACATTATTAAAATATCATATGCCAGCTTTTTCAAAAAATTAAATGTGTCTGTTATCGCATTCCATGTTTCCAAAATTTTCTTATTAGCATTTTCACTTGTATTACCCGTCAGTCTTTCTGTTTCAAATATTTCTAACTCTTTCCTTGTTTCAACAACTTGAATCATATTGAACTAGACTGGAAATCAATCAGCTGCATTTCAGATTCTTCAATTTATTTTATCAAATGTCACATCAGGGTACATAATAAACTTTCATATTAGTATTTCCGATAATTCTTTGAAGTGAGAAAATCTTGCTGAAAATTTCTTGATTAAAGAATCAGTTATAGAAACATTAGTGACGTGCCCAAAATATTGTGTCGCGTGCCACTAATGGCACGCGTGCCATTGGTTCGCCATCCCTGGTATATGGGAATTCTTTGTATGTTCGGTGATTGCCTTTATCTATCGATTATGTATTATAGTGTCAAATATTAATTTTAAAGTGTACGCGTATGTTTGTATTATATTTTTCTTGTAATCCGTTCGATTATAAAAATTGTGTTTGTATTGTAGTGACCCATTACATTTCTTGGTTTGTATTATAATATTGATACGCGTTGAATGAAGTACTGTGAGGTCAAATTCCAGTGCCCTCTCCAATTGGCGAGCTATTTTTATCCGAGATCGCTATGAAGCGCGACATCAAATCAACGTTGGCGTTGCTAAAGGCTCACGATAACAAAGCAAATAGTCGGCTCGTAAATTGTTATAG